TATTACGAACATACGTACAACAAACAATTAAGTCTGTCTCCTAGAGGGATAGGCAAAAACTACTGACTGCGATTTAATACGATCCGGACACACTTTTCTCGCCTCCTTCAGATTCTTACACTTACATGCGTATGTATAAGAATCTGAAAAATTAATATTAAATAACGAATATATAAAATTTTCAAAAAGTACAATATTGTACCAAACAATTTTTCTGACACGGAAGGTACAAGGGTTGATAAAAAGTTACGTCTATCGATAGAAACGTAACCTTCTAGTAACACTGCTGATGGCTGAAACCATAGACGTATTTAAAACATATTACGTCTATGGCCGTAAACAGAGAAACCTATGGCTTTGTGGTCTATGGCTATACAATGTTGCAATCTTTGACTAGAGAAAAACGAAAGGACATGACATAAAGATTGTTAGTTGTAGGAATGTAAAGAAATATCGGCGTCTCTTTTTAGCTTATGAGTATATTCGTATGTAAAAAAGGACAACAGTAGTTTTATCATTACCGAATATGGCAACAATTTTTTCGCTGCGGGCGGGCGCCATGTTTTGTCACAGTCAAGATAATTATATATGTTGTCATTGCGGCTTTAGTGAGGGAGTGTGTTATTTTTATATGTTTCTCTCGTGGAATTCGATTATTACGAAATATCTTATTCTATTCCTCGGGACCTCTAAATCGGGATAAAAGGTATTCTAAATGTTAGTTCAGGTAAAAAACTATTATATTCAAACTGGTCTGATACTTTTGGCGTGATTGAGGAATAAACAAACATTCAAACATTTGTATTTATTATAATTTAATCAGTCTGAGTATTATGTCTGAGTCTAACTTATTGTCTAATAAACAAACAAAAATTCTTGAATTAGAATTTGTTGTTTAGTAATTCCCGGAAAATAATTGTAACGTTAATAATATATAGTTACATTATAGAAACAAAAAAAAAAACGACTGCTTAAAAGTAATGAACTGAAAACATAGGCAAGTATAACTCATATATACTTCAGTAATCTCCTTTTAGTTTACTTTATTTGGATACCCCTATCGATAGTTTGAGTAAAAATAAATTAAGGACTTACAATTTGGCAACAAAAATCCATCATATAGATTTAAAAAAAACAGGGTAAGAAATTGTGTAATAAGAGAAGAGTGTGGTTTGCAAGATGATGTTGTGACCAGGATTAAGAAAGGAATGCTTCGGTGGTTTGGTCATGTGGAAAGAATGAATGAGGAAAGAGTGACAAAGAAAATTTATGTTGCAGAAGTGAATGGCAGAGTCGGAAAGGGACGTCCTAGGCGAAAATTTATCGACCAAATTGGCGATTTATTGAAAACGGGCCAAATTAGGAGTACCCTTAACCGACGAGCATGTATGTGTAGGTGTATGGATGTGAAGGAGGCGAGAGAGGTGTGTCAGGATCGTGCCAAATGGAAGTCTGTAGTCTCTGCCTACACCTCTGGGTGACAGGCGTGAGTGTTTATGTATGTATGTATTAAAAAAAACTATCTAAGAACACGCGTGTGTTTGAGACGAATCACACGAAAGCATCTTTTTCTAAATAAGCGCCACATTATCGATATTACGTATAGTGCGCAGCACTATGCCAAGCCGCCATCTTTGTGCCAGACTTAGTTTAGGTATACATGTTTTTTCGTAGGTATGTCATGTCCTTTCCTTTTTCTCTAGTTAAAGGTTGCTATATACTAATAAATATATTACCGTACTACTAAGGATTTGAAAAAGTTAGGAAAGAATGTTAATTGCATTACAATTGCGAGTCTGCGGGGATATGTTGAAAAATCTATGTTTGCTTTCCATAAAATGGGGGTAACGCAGTGCTTTATTTCTTACATCTATGGACCACTCCCCCACCCGTGTGTGTAATATTTAGGTCGAAGCACGGTTATCTCTCTATCCATCGATTTCCTGAATACCACATCGGATTATCTCACCATCTAAAAGTAAAGTAAAGTGAAGTTACAGGTTACGGTTACAATATACGTTCCACTGCTTAAACTGCTTTGGTCCAAGTCTCCTCTCATTTCTGTGAGGAAAATATCCGCAATGCCTCATGCGTGGTGGCGAACTTCACATGTCTTCGATTTTTTTAAATATACAATATTCCTCTCTATCATTCTACACGTTGTTATAGATACGTTGTCAAACATGTTGCACTATGCTATATAATATGGTAAATTAGCACCATAGAGGCTAGAGAGAAGGAGAACGATCGCTGTAGAAAATAGTGTCCCAGAAATATGGACAAAATAATTGATGCACTGCGATATAGCTAATAAATTGTCTCAATAAAAGTCATTTTCAGTCTATTTTTCCGATCAGATGCTAAACCACTTGCACATCCATGAACAATACAATATTTCACTATTTTTTAATGTTTCTTATTGTCAAAAATTAAAAAATTACGGAGCACGAGTGTTTTCTCACCAATGCCGTGAAGAAATTTTGTATATTATTCAACTAAATTCATCTACTTGTACTCATAAACAGCTAACTTCATAGATATTACTTACCGACAGCAGTTCAGGGACAGGCGGGCTATGCTTTAGCTCGTAGCGTTCGTTCTCCTTCTCTGTAACCTACATGATTAGCACTTAAAATTGCCTTTAACAATTTCGTTGGAAAACGGATTGCTCACATACTATGAAATTTACAGCGAGTTCTTAGCCTCTGAACTACTTCATCTCTCCTGGAACTACCACGAAATAATATTTTTATATAATATACAAAGACCGTAGAAAAAGCAAGTGAAAAAAACTTTTTGTGTCGATATTTTAAACAGAAATTAATATATATTGTTTCTTTTATGATGTAGTGGGACGAAGGCAAATTTTATTTCTGAACGTTTTGACGAAGAAAAAAACAGCACATGAATGCCTTTGTATGTGTTTTTGCTGCCTTATGTTTTGTCTATTCGATTACACAATAAATATAACATTTTAAATTACCTAGAAATTGATACAAAATCGATACTCAACACTAAATATTGAATATTGATGTATCGCGATTAAAAATATCGATGAAAAATATCGATAATTTTGCCGAAGCATAAATTTTATTATACTTAGAAAATTACAAAGGGACGGTCAGCATTTCTGGCTGCAGCAGCCCCTGGCAGCAACTTTTCATTCAATGCTATTAAACAATATTTCGGGGGTTATATATTTTAAGGTACCTAGAATAAAATATTTTGAGTTGTTATATTTTTTAAATGTCGCTGAAAAAAGATCCACCAATGCCACAGCGGTGACACTCCCTGTACGTGAGAGCTTAAGCGCCGGTGCCCTTGAGTAGAAGCGTGTAACGCTAGGGTTGATATCGAACCGAAAAGAAGATACATAGTAGGTATGTGTTATATATTATGTAAACTTATGTATTTGGGTAGTGAAGGATACGTTCAATTTTAAATCAACTTTTATTAAATGAGGAATATTAAAACTTCCGACAAAACCAAATATGCACGACAGTTAATGGTAATCTTAAATAATTAACCAACACTTAGTATTTCAGTACGCAATAATCAGTATTACCTACTATTCTTTAAAAATAATTTACTCTTATATATTTTTGAATTTTTCGATTAATTTTTTAATTTTCAATATTATTTCTAACAATTGCAAAAATTCGTATCTCTTATATATCATCATCGTATATTTTTTTTAGAAAATCCAAAGGTATGCAGGTTTCCATTATTCCCTATTTTTTGAGGAGATAAGTCATTTATATTTCTAATTAAATAATCCATGAATACAACAATGAACAAATACAAAAACTCTTTATAGATATCTAAAATTTCTTGACTCTCTAGTGGTATTTTTAATAGTGTATATTTCAGTTAATGTAATATAATAAAATTATTGGCGATATATTAGTTTTATTATCATGGTATTTCCCCATAATTTTTGTTAAGATCATATTGACTTTCATTAAAATGAGTTCACATATTTTTAGGTATCATAAAACATTATTAAAAGTTAAACTAACAAAACAAGTGCCCTTGTTTTGTGCAGTGGAATTTATTTTAATTGTAATCACTTAAAATCACTTTCAGTAATACTTATACATATATTATAATATCATTTATTTAATAACAACATTAATATTTATCAAAGCATATAATCCTAACATACACGGCTATAAAAACTAATAACGTTACTTGGTAACATAAACTTAATACCTACATGAATATAATAGTAGTATGTACATTAAGATATCAGTAATATTCATATATTAATTAAAATATTATATCACTTGACGAATATAATCATATTAACTAATACTAACAAATATCGGTATTACTACTAGCCCTCGGCCAGGGCAGTCGGCGACTGCCCGTTCCACGCCCCGCGCGCCTCTCAAGGCCCCCACACACATACAGACACCAACACATAGCCGCAAGCGATTTTACATGCACACATGCTTAAGTCTCTTTTTGTCAATTTCTTTGCCAATGCGGCGGATTATTCCTTTCACAGATAGTAATTTATATTTTAGAGATATATATTCTTTAAAATTTTTAAGGGTGACTCAACCCGGCCATGGAACGTGAGTAGGTTGTCATTAGAAGTATTCATAATAACGCTTTATAGTATAATTAATTTTAATAATTAGCTAGCTTTTCTTGAAATCTACGCTTAATGATTATCGTTTAGTGGCAATTCTATCTAACTCTCGCCACATCTTAAAACCGTCGCACATTCGTTTTTTTATTTTGTTTTTAGCATTATACGTAAATTATTGCAACTCTGCCAGAATGTCAAGCAAGTTATCTGGCCTAAAGGTCTAGATACCAGGCTATAATCTCCAAATAAAAAACAAGTTGCTAAGTAATGTCAATTATGTAGTATCCTCTTAGTAGTCTGTGTCCAAATCAAATCAAAAACAATAGCTAATTAAAATATTTTGTGTGACCGTAACAAAAGCGGTTATTTTATGTGTATTATTTAATCAAAAGTGTCACCTAATATGCGGGTGAGTTAGTATTTTATATCATAAAATTATAATATAATACGACGAGTTTCAGAGGTTTATCTATACTGTGCTCTGTGCAAAACTAAGTTATTTTGTATATAGTTATTTTATATATATTATAGTTAAATACACGCTGATAAGTACTCTACAGCATTTTCAGTAGAATTGTTGAATATTGTTTGTCCAAGCCATTGCCCAAGGCTTCAGCAATTTCGTTAGTCATAGCAGCCCCCTGTCACTCTTGCTACTCTGCGTGAAATAATTACGAGGCACCCAGGGTAATATACGCAGTCGGGGCTAGCGCGTTGTAGGCTGTTTACGTGAATAGTTGTTTGTAAATACTTGTCGAAATTCTTCATGGTCGAGTCGTCGTAGGTGGCAACCGTACCTCCACCGGAGATTCTTAGCACCCCCTGCCCCGCAGTTACCATGGTCGCCACCGTAGCCAGGAATAGCGGGGCCGCTGGTGACTGGGGGCCGTCTATTTGTGTAATTCTTCATGGGGGGTATATTGCCATAGTTGCCATGCTTGGTGAGCGAGTTGGCAACCACAGTATTTTTTTTGTTGTACAGTTGCTGTTATCGGGAAGATGCTGCTGCCCGTCTCCTGTCTGTTTCCCTCTGTCGCCTTTTATGACACCCACGGGAAGATATGGGGTAGTGGATATTCTTAACCGCCACTTCACGGGAAGTACAGTACAGTAAAGTCCTTTGAGCGGTGCCAATTTGACTGTCGGTATATCGAAGTGCTGAAGTGTTTTTACAGTAGGGCTACTATGGCTATCCGAGTACAGAACCGACGATATTGTCCTTATGGCAGAATCGCTGGAGGACCTAAACACTATGCTTAATAACCTCAATGGTGTCTCCCATTGGATAGGTCTTAAGATGAACATGGACAAAACAAGGATCATGCTTAATGTCCTTGTCATGTAGTTGTTGGGAGCACTATGCTTGAAGCTGTTGCCGTGTATGTTTACCTGGGACAAATAGTCCGACTAAGTAAGTCCAACTTTGACTGAGAGGTCAATCGATGGATTCGACTCGGCTGGGCAGCGTTCGGGAAATTACAACACATCTTTTCGTCAGGTACACCTCAAACTCTGAAAACTAGATTGTACAACCTATGCGTGTTGCCAGTGATGACTTACAGATCTGAGACGTGGTCCTTCACTGCTGGCCATATGATGGCACTCAAGGTCGTTCAGCGAGCTATGGAGAAGGCTATGCTCAGAGTTTCTCTGTATGATAGACTCGGAAATGAGGATATCCGCAGTGTGACCGACATAGCCCAACGGATTAGTAAGCTGAACTGGCAATGCTGACCCATATGCTTAAGAACCGATAACTGGGAAAGTTCTCAAGGCATCTCATACCGGTAGGCATAGTGTAGGGCGACCCTCACTAGATGGAGTGACAACCTGGTAAGACATACAGGAAGTCGATGGATGCAGATGGCTCAGGACCGTGCTTTGAGGCATTAATTGGGGGAGGCCTATGTTCAGCAGTGGACTTTTGAAGGGCTGTAATGATGATGATGACTTGTCGAAATAGGTTTTGTTTCGTGTTTAGTATACTTAATTGTAGGATAAAATAGTTGAAAGTTCTAATCTAATTTAAAAATAATATGTATCATGAATATTACCTATTTGATCAATTGTAATGGCAAAAAGTTGTTCCTACTGTAACTCTTGTGTGGATAGACGCTAAATGACCAACAAAAGGATTCAGATATATCATTCATTAAGTTACAGATTTAGATACAGGATTTAAGTAGGAAGTTATGAAAGGTGAATTTATTTCTTTTTAGGTACTTATAGCAAAAAAAATTTATCTACAGAAGTAATACTATGTACTTTATTACAAAACTCAGTTGAAATTTACTTCACTATCCACGTATCTACTTGCATGCCTATACTTGTATTTTGTAATTAAAATATTTTAAATTATAATAACACAAAATATTGAATAAAACTAAATTTACGGATTTTATCGCGTTTATTTAACTACTTTTACTTATTTTTAATTCCCGACGTTTCGGGTGCTTTACAGCAACCATGGTCACGGGGGGGACTGAGATGTTTGACGTCCCAATGTCATAGTTAGTCCGGCTACCTTCAGTTTTTGAATATTAATTTTTGGTCCGATTTACGCAAAACGAGCTTATAGTATCGTGAAGTCTTGCAGTGGTATGCTTAGGTTTGGGTTTAATTTTGTTAATTATAGGATCCCAAGCAGGTGGCAGCACCCATCCATCTTCTCTATTGAAATTTGGATGTTTTTTAATTTCAATAGCCTCGCGTATCATCCTTGGTAAGAATCGGTGTTCTTTTGCGAGAATTTGTGGTTTATCAAAACGAATGTAATGGTGGGGACGATCTTGAACATGTTCGCAGACTGCAGACTTCCCTGAGCGTCGGTGCTTCACGTCAGCTATATGTTCTTTCACGCGGGTTTTTATGGATCTTTTCGTTTGACCTATGTAAGAGAGACCACATTCACAATCTAACTTGTACACTCCTGCATCTTGTAGAGGGATATTACACTTGACGGATGGTAAAAATTGACTAATCTTCTTCGGCGGCTTGTAGTATGTTTTAATAGAAGCTCGCTTCAAGATGTAGCCAACCTTGTCTGTGACTCCTCTGACATATGGTAGTACAGCAGGTACACGCTCGACTGTGGCTGGCTTCACTCGGTCACTGTGACGTAGGCGCGGGACCCGAAGCTTGTTGTCTTGCAATACTTGCTTGACATGCTGAAGTTCGGCGGCCAGATGTTTTCTGTCACAGATCCCTCGTGCTCTCTGAAACAAAGATCTACCCACGGTAGCTAACTGTGAAGGATGATGGTGAGATTCACCATTTAAATATCCGTTGGTATGGGTCTTTTTTTTATACACAGTGTGACCAATTGTGTTATTAGGATTTGGAATGACTAAAACATCTAAGAAAGCTAAAGAATTATTTGCCTCTAACTCCATTGTGAATTGTATTTTAGAGTTTATAGAGTTAAGGTGGTTTAAAAATGCAGTTACTTTGTCAGATGGTAAAATTGTGAAAGTGTCGTCTACGTAACGCTTATAGTATCTTGGATTTACAGGAGTAGTAAGAAGGGCTTTCTCCTCGAAGTCCTCCATGAATATGTCAGCGACTATGGGAGATACAGGTGAGCCCATCGCCACACCATCTACTTGCTTGTAGAACTCCTCCTTCCACAATAGATAGCTAGATGTGAGGCAGTGTTTGAGTAATACTGCATATTCAGCAGGCATGTTATTATATTCTAGCTTCCCAGTTACAATTGATATGCAGTCTTCAATAGGTAGGCATGTGAATAGTGACTGAACATCAAAACTGACCATAGTTTCATTGTCAGCGAGATGTAGGTCTTTTCAACGACATTTGATTTTAATAATTGCATCGAAACTTTAAACAAACGAGAAACAGCAAAATACAATGAATGCAAAAATAAACAAATAGAAAAATACCAAAAATTAACGATCAAATCAAATGCCAACCATCTAAGTCAACGTCAGAACGAAACACAACCGTTGACCACAGACGCAAACAATAAACAACGCACGGTCTATAATCTGTCAAAACATACACTGGACGAACCAACAATAAAGGTGTTAGCGAAGGGAATGAATTTCGCATTAACACCGCGAAAAATCCCGTACGAAGAAATTATCTGCAGCGTTGAGGATTGTCTGTTTAAAAATAATATTGGTAAGGAAGATTTGGAGGCTATACGTCAAGATATTTCGTCCTTGTTACGTCGTAGTTCAGTGCCGAAACCAAACCTTCCTAAAGACGAATTTACAGCGTTGATTAACTTACGGAACAGACCAGATCTAACGATTCTCCGCGCGGATAAAGGAAATGCTACGGTAATAATGGACACGTCAGAGTATAATTTTAAAATGCTACAGCTTTTATCGGACGAAAGTACATACAAAAAGGTCAAAACAGACCCCACAACTAACACGCTTAAAGCAACTAGCGATTTAATAAAGAAACACTCCGAAAAATTAAATCTCGACGTGAATTCGCTAATACCATCATGTACCAAACCACCGAGGTTGTATGGGTTACCAAAGATACACAAACCAAACGCTCCACTACGTCCTATAGTGAGCCAGATTGATTCACCAACTTATAAGCTGGCACAACACTTGGCAAAAGTACTGTCACCACTGAGAGGACATACCAGAGCACACACAAAGGATTCATACCATTTTGTTAGTGAGATAAAAGACCTACATCTCGCTGACAATGAAACTATGGTCAGTTTTGATGTTCAGTCACTATTCACATGCCTACCTATTGAAGACTGCATATCAATTGTAACTAGGAAGCTAGAATATAATAACATGCCTGCTGAATATGCAGTATTACTCAAACACTGCCTCACATCTGGCTATCTATTGTGGAAGGAGGAGTTCTACAAGCAAGTAGATGGTGTGGCGATGGGCTCACCTGTATCTCCCATAGTCGCTGACATATTCATGGAGGACTTCGAGGAGAAAGCCCTTCTTACTGCTCCTGTAAATCCAAGATTCTACAAGCGGTACGTAGACGACACTTTCACAATTTTACCATCTGACAAAGTAACTGCATTTTTAAACCACCTTAACTCTATAAACTCTAAAATACAATTCACAATGGAGTTAGAGGCAAATAATTCTTTAGCTTTCTTAGATGTTTTAGTCATTCGAAATCCTAATAACACAATTGGTCACACTGTGTATAGAAAAAAGACCCATACCAACCGATATTTAAATGGTGAATCTCACCATCATCCTTCACAGTTAGCTACCGTGGGTAAATCTTTGTTTCAGAGAGCACGAGGGATCTGTGACAGAAAACATCTGGCCGCCGAACTTCAGCATGTCAAGCAAGTATTGCAAGACAACAAGCTTCGGGTCCCGCGCCTACGTCACAGTGACCGAGTGAAGCCAGCCACAGTCGAGCGTGTACCTGCTGTACTACCATATG